TTGGTTGGTAACATTTTTTAAATGTTTTTGAAAGTCTCTTAAGCTCACCAAGACTGTATTTGTTTGATAAAAAAAAAAAAATACCGTCAAGGCAGTAATTGTAACGGGGCTGACGAGACGTGAGACGTGCAGATCCATGTGCAAGCTTTATTTAAAGCAGAGAGGTCAGAAACACAGGCAGGGTCGAACAATGGCAAACAGGTATATGGCGGACAAGACACAAGAATAGTCCTAGGGCTAGCAAAGGTCAACGAACGGCGAACAGAATCAAAAGGGCGAGACTAAAGGGATAAATCCAGGAAACCAGGCAAGGATCAGAAACCGAGAAAACAGACAAGGCAAGACTAGGCTAGGCTAGGAAGCTAACGAGGGCTCTGTAGAGTAGCTATCACTGCTGGCGATAAGCGCATACAATACTCGGCAGTGAATGGTTGTTTGAGTGAGTGTTATATAGTGAATGTGTGATTGATGACAGCTGTGTGCAATCAGTGCTGTGTGCAATCAGTGAAACAGCTGTGTGCAATCAGTGCTGTGTGCAATCAGTGCAATGAATGATGGGATATGTAGTCCGGGGTGATATGCAACAGTGTGTAGTGCGAGAGTCAATGAAAATGGAAAGGGTGACCTCTGATGGCTAGCAGACAGAAGTTCATGGACCGGATACGTAACACAGACATTCTGAAACATGTACAAAGCCAATTCACAAGCCTCTTTAGACATTTCTTTATGTGGGCTTGCAAGACTGAGGTTTGTTTTGTGGGCAGACAGACTAATGGGATCCAAAGGGGGAGCAGACTGTTCACCAGACTTTAGTACATACAGAGAACCTCAGTAAAAATAATTATTGTTTTATAATTCTCCCCTGAACCAGAGGTGCAAGAAGTGCCATTCCTCTAATAATTTTAGGACACCTCAACCACTCAATCTAACCCTACAGTCTCTGAAGAACTGGACGGCTAGCTTCCATAAATCAGAGAAGTAAAGCTGTTAACATAGTCCAACCCACCGTGCACATCAATTCTTCCTCACTCTTCGTCTCTCCCGGGCTGGTCCAAGTGTCAGTTTACACTGGCTGCTTGGCATCTCCATCAATACTAAAACAGTGTTTGAGCTGGCTTCACTCAGCTGTCATTCCACCTGTGAGTGCCACTAATAACATGCCATAAACAATGCAAGGAGAAGCAATGAGACTGGCGAGAGGACAGAAATGCACCTCTCCAAAGTAAACACAATGGAATGAGATGGCTTCACGTCTCCTCTGACACAGCGGTTTCATCATCCGACCCTGTGCACTTCCTTTGATGTGAACGGTTATATATACTGAAGAGTAGAACAAACTGAGCTGCAATATTCTTTCTGTCAATATAGTCAAGCATCAAAGCCGGGACAACCTCATATCCTTTGAGATCGAGAGTCAATGCACAAAAAAAACAACAACAACAATGTCATTGCATGTGCCCATATACAAGGAGCCAATCGGATATGAGCATTTCCAACAGCTCTCAAATGGCAATGAACATTATGGCGCTCACCTTTACAGTCTAAGCAGCTTCTTATTTGTGTATGCTTTCATTCTCTCTGCAGTGGCTGGGTTAACAAACAGTATTTGGTACTCACGGCCTTGGGACTCAGGGCTGCAAACAAAGCCGTGTGTGGGTTTCTCTGAGTACAACCAGGCTAGAGAGATCTACTTCATTCTCTAAGAGGTTTAAGAGAGCACTAGTGTCTATAACTACAAAATCATGTTTTTTTTGTTATGAGTGGGCAATATTAATGATTGCTAATGTAATAATATAGTTGTTCCTGATATCAACATGCTCACTGATTTATTTATTTATTTTTTATTTATTTATTTAGTGACCAGATACCTGCAGCACAGATGAGTCTTTTCAAACTCTTTTCCTCTGAGAGCGCTGTACCAACATCAGATGTTCAACTACACTGGGCTGATGTTCTACATGAATATGGTAAAATAAGCTCCATGACTACTGATGACAGGGCTGTTTTTTTTTTCCT